TATATATATATATATATATATATATATATATATATATATAGGGAAGAATGTATGAGGCAGAAAAAGATGTACAGCACTTTGCTTTGGAACAGTGTGGTATAACTAAAACGTGTATCAGCATGGTTGACATACAAAATATCAAGTATGTAATCAACTATGGGCCCAAAATTTATTTGCCAAGGGAAGAGTCCTGGGGCAAATTAGAGCAAGTCCATTGATGTCTCGTCAAGGATACTGTCAGCAACAAAAGTGATTTTCCCATTCAAAAAAAAAGAGAAAAAACAGAGGAAGTGCCATAAATAAGCAGAGAGATGAAGTTTGGTCTGATAATTCAGAATCAGCCCATTGTCAACAGATAGTGCATTATTCGTCCACATATGTAGCAGGTCACAGTATATGATATAGGAATAATTCGTCATAGTAAGGTGCCAAACAATGTGATATAGACATAAGTGGCTAGGGCTAAAGGACCATAAAGTGTATATGAATAGGCCAAGTGCAGTCCGCCCGGCAAAAAACATGTAGAGGAAGCACCTTGGGATACGTCAGATCATGCCAAGTGCAGTCCATTTGGACAGAAAACATCCAGTGGAAGCACCTTGAATAAGCCTATATAGTATGATCAACAAGTGCAGTCAGCCCAGACAAAACATCTGGGGTAAGTGCCTTGGATCCAAAATAGTATGTTATTACCTATTCAATAATTATAATGACAACAGCCCCCTTCTCACTGAATGGGTACTTATAAGTTATGAGTTTGATTTCTTTCATTGTACAAACCCACTCAGGAGGAAACCTCCATGGTCCACCACTCCAGCGACTGGGAACCGGAGTGGTAAAGGCTCCTGTGCTCTACTAGGAAAAAAAAAAAGGGGGGGGGGAAGGAATATGCATTGGGGAGTCCAAAGGAATGACACACTGGAGACTGTGCAGTGGGTATCTGTGATTCCTTATTCTGAAAAGCAGAAAGATCCAGATTGTAAGAATCACGGACGAGTGGGGATGGACAAAAATCCCCATGTGCTTTACTCATGAAATTAATCAGTGACGGCCTTTTATATAAAATACATTGATAATAAAAGTTTGATATATAGGCTGTCTTCCTCAATTAGGTATCGTCTTACTCCTGTGGCAATTCTCCACACATCTGTTCACCTTTGAATGGTGTAAGTTGACCTATTATTATTGTTCAGTTTATATGCATCATATTTCAGGACCTCACCTAGTGGCAGGTGTTGCCTGGTTAGGTATGCTGAATATTAGATCTTTGCACTAAATCAGTATAATTATAAACGCTCACTGTAAAGATGGGGTGTTTCTGTAAGACCATTGGACATTTTCCCAGTGGTATGTATGTATAAAATCGGGTAGATAGTGTGCTACAAATGTGTTGGGAGTCGTCCATATACCTGCTTGAATGATCTCCTCCAAAATTGACGGAAACAAGCAACAAAGGACATAGTTAAGTGAGAGATTTGGTGCAATGAAACACTGTACAGCCAGCAACCTTCCATGGACAAGTCAGAACACGCTAGCCTTATGTATTGCCGAAACCAACCAGTAAGGGTAACAGGAGATAGGTCCCAGGAAATAAAGGGATTATAGGGAAAAAATAGGTGGGAATGCAAGCCATAAAAGAAGGCATTACAAGACACATAACAATGCAGGAAACAGATAGGAAAGAGAAGATGATCTGGATCCAAATATGAATACAGGTGGGAAATAGACAGTAAAGAAATGGGAGAAAAGGTGAAACAACTTTCATGGGCAGCAACTGTCTTAGGAAGGAAGGCCCAATCTAGATAAAAAAAATAAGAGGAATGGTAAAGGATATGGGACACATTAATGGCATAAACACCAGAACAATGATGACCACATGACAGGAGCAGAAGGAAATAGGTCTTAAGGGAAAGATGGTACAAGGAAAACGTAGTAGTGGGTTCAAAGGGTGAACCAGACAGGGCATGAAGAACAACATTGAGATTTCAATTTGGAAGAACAAAAGGACGTGGAAGACGACCAAGACAAAAGAAACAGGAAAAGGAGGGAAATAATTAGGAAAGTGAAGGTTTACAGAATTGGGAGAAATGGAATGTGTTTGACAGAGTAGCTCAATAACTAGCAACCATTGACATGGACAACCCCTGATCAAACAACCAGGTAAAGAATTGGAACAGATGTGAAACAGAAGCTATGGTGAATGGACTACCATCTGAAGGTAGACCAACGTTTCTGGTACACGGACAATGAAGAAGGCCGAATAGTACAGGTAAGGAAAGACACTATACGCGGAGTGAGTCCCTGAGCTGAGGCAAGGGACTGGACAAAAGCCACGCGTGAAGATGGAGGTTGGTGACGTCTGGATAAAATATGTTTGATAGCAGTTGTGAGAGGAGCAACCTGGACAGAGTTAATGGCAGGGGCTGTTGCTCCAGTAAGGTCAAAGCAGAGGTGTGACCCACGTGACACATTTTCTCTTCGTATGTCATCATCCCTATTTTATCCACCACCCTTCGAAAAAGTACGAAATTAAATGTAAATTACTCTCTATAAAATCATTATTGCTCAGACAAACCATAATTTTTTATAGTTTTCAATTTTGTTTGGTTACAGAGCTATTGAATAGAAAATCAGACGCCTCCTACCACACCCACCTGTCACATCCTCTCTTTCACAATTCGTTGATAGTTCTCTCTTACGTTTAATTATATATTACCTATAACCAATAGAAAGTCAAGGTTTTCATCTATCGAATAACATATTGTATAACGTTGTGTTTTGAAGAGATAATTGTCCATTTCATTCACAGTACAAGATTCGTTCCCACGGGAAAGTTAAC